TGGATTCGGGGGCATGATGACAAAGTGAGGGGGCAAAGCGAACTCTATGGCATACCCAACCTGTACGATGGTAAGGATCCAGGAGTCGATGGTAATTTCTTCCCAAGTTGGAAGGAAGGGGAAGAGTCGGGTCTGAATGGGAGGGGTGAATGAAGGAGGCAGTGACAGGCCCTCAAGGTGGTCAAATGAGCTGCTGGGGCTTCTTGGGGGCTTGTTGTCGTGGCCATTGAGATGGACAGGAGTCATATGATTTCTTCCTCCACTGCGAGGTAGTAGCAGGCGATGGCTGACGTTTATTGTAGTAAGGTCTCCAGGAACGGTATTGAGGCCTTGGTGTCGAAGTAGAAACTCCAAGGTTTTGAGCTTGTTTTCTGCTATCATCGACAGCTTTCAGAGCCTCATCCGTAGTGGAATGAAAAAGTCCTTCGCCATCGAAGGATAGATCCTCAACTTTGAATTTGACATCTGTCTGCAGGGAAATACTGTGGAGCCAGGAATGATGGCGGAGTGCGATGGAAGAAGCGAGGGCTTTAGAAGATCAGGTGACAGCATGATGAATGGAGTTGATCTGTTGCTTGGAAATAGCACAGATTTCGGACAAGGCGGCAGACAGAATGAGACGATGTTCCTCTGGGACAAATGTAAGAACTGGATGAACAGCAGTGGCGACATTAAAGGTATAAGCAGAGAGGTACGACAGATAAGTATCAATTCTAATGTTCATGGAAGTGATGGAGTAAGTTTTCTTGGCAATAACATCAATCTTCCTTCCCTCTTGGTCAGGAGGAGCGGACTGTCGAACAAGTTGTTTGGACTTAGAAGAGGAATGTACTATCATCAAGTTTGGCGGAGGTTGAGTAAACAAGAATTTTCCAGAAGATTCTTGAACTTTATAAAGGTTGTCATAACATCCCAATATCGGCGTGATGGAGGCAGGATGGTCCCAAGACTCCTTGAGGACCAAAAGGTGGACCAGAAACAACAGGAGAATTGTCGAAGGTGGCAAATCCACTTGGACTAATTTATGGATGACATCAGTCACTGCAGGAGTTTCCGTAGAGCCTTGTACTTAAAGAGCCGTAGCCATTCGTATAATAAGCTCCAAATAGGCTTTTGGGACTTCCGTGGGAGAGATGGAACCCGACCGACAGGCCTCGTCCTCGAGAGGAAGGATATCAAGATCACCAGATACAGAACGGTCAGATACCGAGTCCGGAGAAGGTGATCGAAGCGGTTGGGAGACATCAATAGGTGTTTCGTCACCTGCAGGAGGATGATACTGAGATTCTAATGGAGAACACTTTGGGGCATCCGCAGACATCGATATATCTGGAGGCTGATCGAGCTCCAGGGAATGTGGACCGAGGCTACCGAGTGGGAATGCCTGGAGTAGGACGAAGTCGGCCATCCTCCGTAGTGGTCAGTTTTTCCAAACCGGTCATAACAATCTCGGTGAAAAGTACAAGACCTGGAGTAAGAGCGAGGGTAATACGCCCCACGATGTCGGACATCTGGAGACCAGGATCTATAATCGGATGCTGAATTCGACAGAGAAGGCGAGCAATGATAATGGTGTGGTCTGCGAGTATAGTGGAACCTCGACCTGGATCGACTTTGCATGAAATGCTCTGTCATCTAAAGGGTGGATAGGCATATGAGAGCCTCAGGAGTGAGATTGAGATGCACAATGAGAGGAAGGCTGCTGGACAGGTGACTTGGAATGCTGACCAAGTGGAATATGTCCTGACAGTGAAGACAAGGTAGGAGGAGGCTGAAGACTAGGCTTATGTGAAGGTGGAGCCATAGAAGAGTATTTTGCAATGTCAGTGTGTTTTGGTGGAACAGAAGACTGGGATGTGACTGAGGACATCGTAGGATGCAAAGCTTCCTCGAGAAGAGGCGTTCTAAGTTGGGCTGCCCTATTTCTACAGGCATGTCAAGTAAAGTTCGCGCAATGGGGACAGGAATCAACCCGGTGAGACTCGCCCAGACAAAACAAACAAAGATTGTGGCCGTCGTTGGAGGGAAGTTTCGCTGGGCAACGGTGACACGTCTTATTTTTTACCTTACAACAAAACATCCCCCCCAGCGGGGGGGGGGGGGGGGACAAAAACAAAAGTGATGAAAAATAGTAAAATACTTTTGTTTTTGTTTTTCAGGAGGAATAAGAAGAAATAAGAAAGATGAAGAAAACCAGAAGAGAAGTACTCAGCTGAGGCAATTTTGAAGACCGACGCTAGTGAGGTGTGAACGCGAAGGCGGTCGAAGAAGAACTGAGTGGGAGGTGGCTCTCTCCCGCTCCAGGCATGCGCAGTGCATGCCTGCTCCCCAGGGCGGGAAGAGAGCCTGCCAAAAAAGGTTTCTGAGGCAAGCTCTAGAAGGTTCTCCGATCAAGGTCGTGCGCAGGCACCCAACTCATGTGTGGGACTGTACAGAGACCACGACGAAGATCGTCTCCTTTCCTAGATGGCTGGAAGCTCCTTACCCAATCCAGAGTCAGGGAGCCTTCAACCTCATGGCAGGATGAACCTCTATCCTCCAATCATTAAAGAGCTCACGTACCACACATCTCAATACTGAGTTCATGTTTTAACAACAGCGATCCATCTTGCCCTTTGTGGCAGTTAGAGCAAATGGTTATCTCTTCATGGAACCACATTTTACTTTGTCTTGTGTTCTAGTTTGTTAAACTATAGTAATAAAGTCCTGTATAAGAGAGCACACTGTGGTTCAAGCACTGAAGTAGTTGGGAAACATGTCCCTCTGCACATGCTCAGAGACAGCCTTTACTGGCACACACACACACCCTGACCACTAGTATATGTAAAAGACTAAACTTAGTTTGGGGTGGTAGCACACAAAAGTGCATTCCCACATTTTTTGGTGCAGTGTTACTTAATTACTACAGCCCGTGTCCCTCTTGGGTTTTGTCCATGTAAGTCTCAGGATTCCTAACTCAGCCCCCCATACCCTTTTTCACAGCAGAGAAGCTGGTTGGAGTCAACCTCCTGCTCTTGCAAACTCAGACCATCACAAACCTGGATCTGACCTGTCCTTTGCAGCCTGAGAGGGTTTTCTTTGTGTTCCCATTGACGTTAGAGACATTTTAGAATGAACAGTGAAGAGACAGGCAGCCCTGCTCTGTTTTTCTTCCTTTGTGCTTGAATCCTTGGGTTAGTGGAGGAGGAGGAGATTGGATTTATACCCCGCCCTTCACTTGGAGTCTCAGAGCGGCTTACAAACTCCTTTCCCTTCCCCTCCCCACAACAGACACCCTGTGAGGTGGGCGGGTCTGAGAGAACTCTGACACAAACTGCTCTTTTTCAAGGACAGCTGTGCCAGAGCTTGCGACTGACCCAAGGTCACATCAGCAGGTGCAAGTGGAGGAGTGGGGAATCACACCCGGTTCTCCCAGATTAGAGTCCGCACACTTAAACACTACACCAAACTGGCCCTCTTCATGGAACCACATGATACATGATAGTGGAAGATACATGTGCCCCGTTTGCAGTCTGGCGTTATCACAGAATGCTCTCGACAGGAGCAGGGGTACTAGCTGTTGGTAGTTAATGGATAAGTACTAGAGTTGGCCACAAGATGTTTTATTTTTATCAGTTGGTAATTAAACTTTCCAAAGAAGGCAATTACACTTAGCTTTTTAGATAGACCATTGCTCCACAGCCAACAGTGCACCCTCCCTGGTCATGGATAATAAAACTGCAGCAGTAGAGGATGGAATTCTAGAGAACATGGTCCCTGAGCGTCTCCAGACAAGCTTTCAAATTAAGCATACACAAACATTTGCAAACCAGGAATTTTTTTTTTCCTGTTCTCTGTGGCTGTCACATTTTTCTCCCTCTTGGAGTCCAGGGCGGCATCTGTGGTTCCACCTCTTCCACTTGATCCTTTCACCAACCCTATGGAGTTGGCTAGGCTGAGAGACAGAGAGTGGCTGGCCACAGAGAGTTACGTGACTGAGTGGGGATTTGAACCCAAGTTTTGCCCAGGTTGCTTTTCTTTAAAATCCTGTCTCCCCCACTTTATACTAGAATATCGGAGTTGAATTTGGAAAGTATATTTTCCCAACTTCACTGGGTATTAATTCTTACATTGAGGCAAGAATCTTTAGCTAGAATAATTGTTAATTAATACATTTAATATTACTGTTTGAAAGAGAGCTTTGTTAGAATTTTTAATTTTCAGGTTAACTAGGAAGGACAAAGCCCCCTCAAAGCTACCTTTGTGCAACAGTTTGGCCTGTAAATGTAGATTAAGTTTTTTCACTGAAAAATAACGTTTCTTTAGGTGAGGTTCACTTGGTGCTTGTTCTTACACATTTAGCAGTGCTTTCATTCAGAAGTAAAATTTACAAAGTCATCTGCTTAAACAAAGCACTAGCCCTAATGAAGCATTTGAACACTTTGGATTTCAAAAGGTGTACTTTTGGGTGCTTAAATATGCATTTCTAAGGCAAGAAAGAAGTGAAAAGTTGTATCCAGTAACTCAGATAAAAGAAGAAAATCTGTTAATTGTATAGGAAGCATACTAATATACAGAATGTGGGTTGTTGCTGCTTTTTGTTCCTGTTGCTAAGATGACAGATCTTACATCATTTGATAGTATCTCTTTCTATATCTGTGATAATTAAACCATTTGAACTTGTAGGTAAGCAATATGTGCTTAACATCTGGCTGACTTTCCTGGCATGCAAAATCTATTTGGCTTATAATATTCTTTGAAGAAGAGAGGCATTTTTTAAAAAGCAAAGTATACCCATTCATTGACTCTTTGCTTATCTACAGTGGCAAGTACACGCACTATAAATGCTTTAAGACAATCTGATCCCTTCCCTACCTGATTTATTCTTTTTAAGCAAAGCACCTGTGGTTTCAGGAGGAAACCGTACATGGAGAGAACCATATTTCCCACAGATTGTAGTCTGTCCGTCAAATGGATTTGCAGAAGTGGCTCTGAAATGTGCTTTGGTCCAACTCTCCCAGGGGTATAAGAAGACAGTTGCTGAGAGGCTTGAAGATTTCGCTCTCAAAGTGACTGAACATGAGAAGGAATTTGCTGGGAAGGCTGCTCAGTACCAGCGAGAAATAAGGCACCTCCAGTGGCTGCTGCAAGACAGACAGGAAACCCTCGACCAAGTGCTGCAGCAAAAAAAGTAAGTCAGTCAAAGCCTTAAAAAACCCAGTTAGACTGGGCTGGCAAAATGAGGGCAGATGTAGACATATGCTCTGTCTGAGAGCCCCGTCTGGTGTGCTCAAACTGTTTTTCACTTGTCTGCCTCTCTGCTGGATTGAAAATGCTAAACACCTTCTTTCAACTGGTTCTCTCCCCTCCCCCCTCCCACTCACCCCTTCCCAGTCTACAAGTCCTTGAAGGATATCATTTATTGCTGGTGCCCACAATTAAGCTTGAAAATTCTCCTGACTGCTAACTGTATCTTTCTGAAGGGAAACAAAGCACACAGAAGCGATTAACTCGAATTGAGCTTTCAATAATTCTCTCCAAAGTGAATCACTGGTCATGTGGCTGTTGATTTAATAACATCTTCCAGCAAGGGCTGATGAAGTCCCAGACTGACAGGTTTTTGATAGACAGGAAACAAAAGCATCTTTTAGATTGGGAAGATTCTAATTGCAGCTTGGGGGTGGGGAGCAGAATGAGCAGTCGAATAGGTAGGTCTTGGTTAAAGCATGCCTGTCAGTGTTCAACCCCTAAGGAGAGCTAGTTTACCATTCTAATGGAAGTAGATTTCATAGAATATTTTTTTATCAGAATTTAAAAACATCCATGGAGAGATGGCAGATCTAAGCGACTCATCTAAAGGCATTGTGAGATGAAGTTCATGGAAACCATAGTTCAGAGTGCCATCCATGTCTATAATGTCACCTCTCCCATTAGAGGATAGATAGCTGATTTTTGGCAAAATAAACACACTCTCAATGAACACCACTCATGCTTAACTTAAAGCCACATCGGTAGCAGTGATTTGAAGTATCTGCTCAAGTGTAATACAGTACATAGGAGGAGAGAAATTAGTTGCTGTGTTATGCTGAGCACAGAGATGTTTATCCATTCTCAGGAAAAGCATGTTTAGAATTTTGCTTTGAGATTCCACGAACACTGCTTTGAGATGAAAGTCGAATATGGGCAGTCCAAGACTTCATAGTGCCTGAGGCGCGAAGTCAGAATGGCGCAGACACCAGCTATCTCAAAGGACACAAGAGACATTCTTCCCAGGCCCCATAGAAACGAGACCTGGCAGGAGAACCTCCACCTTTGCTTTACTCTGTGGGCAATTCGGTCTGCTTCCCTCTCTTACCGTCATGAGTGGTACCCAAAATATGCCACTCGAGGTAGCTGTCTCACTGGGCCTCATGATAGGAGAGTCCCAGCTTGTGACATTTCTATGCAAAACTCAGAAGTCTGCTCAAACAGATTTAAGGCATTTATCCTGTTATGACTTGTAATCATCAGCCATCTAATGCATATGAACAAGTCATGGTGTGCTAGCTGCTGTAACCATGATTTATTTATTTAAATTTATAACCCGCCCTCCCCGCGAACGGGCTCAGGGCGGCGTACAGATGGGGCCAATGGCCAATACATTATTTATTTATTTAAATAATTTATTTATTTAAATTTATTTAATTGATCATGCGAAGGAGGCCAGTTCACATGACAAGCTGTGCTCCTTCTACATGAATTGGGCAGTTCCTTCCAGACCAATATTACATGCCAAGAAAATCTGCAGTGGTTTGGAGGAAATTGTTGAATCTAAGTAACAACCTGCTGCATATGTATAGCTTTCAGGAGGGGAGGGGCTATGGCTCAGTGGTGTAGCTTTGCATGCAGGAGGTTCTAGGTTCAATTCCCGGTATCTCCAGTTAAAGGACTAGGAAAGAGATGCTATGAAGGACCTCTGCCTGAGACCCTGTAACAGAAAACTACTGACTAGCAAAACGGTGAAAAGAGCCCAAAGTTAGAACACCGAATAGCCAAGGGTTTGTACTAGGACAAGGCAATGCAACATTAACAAGCGGAGAAAGGACTCAAACAGATTTCCGACTGCTTTGTGGGAAAGATTGCTTGAATGATTCATGGAGCAGAGACAGATTTGAAGACTAAGGCGCTGACAATAATATAATCCATTGCACATTAGATCCAGTGAAACTGTAGGAAGTGCAGGAAGCAGTATGAAGGGAGCAGTCCCTGGCAGTGAACCCATTGCAGTAGTTTTTGAAACCATTGCTATTTGGTAGGATGTATTTGGAAGCAGACAGTTTTTGCGATATGAATAAAGGCACCTCTGGCTTCACGCTGGGGATCCCTAAGCCACAGATGTTAAGGGAGCAACGCCCGTGCAGAATGGCCACCACAGTACCAAAACAGCAGCATCTCATCAGTACCTCTTAATCTCTGCAACAGCAGCTACCTCTGTAAGTGTACATCCGGCTTCATGTTCTGTTTCCATGCATCCAACGCTTCTGGGAGCAATATGTGGCTGTGTCCTCAGATGCTCCGATGGATGGATCTTTCAGAGCTGTTAAGACTTCATTGCCCTCTTGCAAAGGACCAAATCTTGCAATTTGTCAGAGAGCAGAGCGGCTCCTAGAAATTGCTGCGGGCCACGTTTCTTCTGATGTACCTTCATCGCACACGATGTGATTGTGACCCAGGGAGCTATTTCACCGAAAACAAAACATTTTCCTCAGTTGTTGGTTGACCTGATACCTTGCCCTTCAGCTGCATTCACAGCTGCTTCAGAGAAAAACTTTACGTAGAGTGTGAAATAATATCGAATTTACAGAAGCAGGGTATGAAGGACCCCATGTGGACTATCATCTATTTTCAGTTGGAAAACAGTCTTAATTCCTCTGAGTTGTGGGGTTTTTTGGGGGGTGGGGATTCTGAGATTTCCCAGTGGTAGAGTAAGAAAATCAAACAAGGAATAATCCAGGATAGCCGATTACAAGAACCTGTTCCAGCACATAAATACTACAACCAGGACTTATTATCTAAATTTGTTTTCTGTGCTAAGTCCCAAAACATATACACAGTAATTTTGTAAGAGATTGCTAGAATGCCTTCCTATCACCGCTGTCTGCCTGCTCAGAATATTATAAACATTATGCTTTGTGTGAAGAAGAGTTTTCCTTTGGTTAATTTTAAATCCAACACCCATCAATAGCCAGAAAGTGCTTTGAGGTCAGCTTAGGTCACAGTATCTTTAATTTTCAGAAGATAAGAGTTTATGAGAAACACCATCTCATTTTCCAAACATGAACTCTCATACATGTGAATGGTGACACTTAAACTTTCACAAAAAATAAGTGTTTTGCCTGCATTCCGAGAGCTGAGGCGGCCAAGGGTATGAGCTTGGTTTCTCTCAAACCAGCTGGACAGCCATCAAGAAAGCAGTCTCCTTTCTAGGAAAGTGGCTTTCTGTCAGCAACTTCACTAACTTAATCGTATGAAACCCTGCAGGTTTTGTGAACGGGGTTTGAAGATGGCATTGGATGAGCATAAAGGCAATGGGGCATGGAAAGGAATGGAAACCACAGCTTATTGTAGTAAAAACCTTCACCGTAGAAAGCACCATTTATGCCAGTCCACTCTGCATGGGGGGCCAGATCCTCAACTCCCTGCATCACGCAGTCCCCTCGGAAAATGGGAGTGACCCGTAGAGTCATTGGAGCCGACCTTGGTTTAGTGAACTTGGCTCTGTGTTGATATCAGTAAGGGGCAGGAAGGTTAGGTTAGCTCCCCTTGTGATGCATTCAGAGCTAAGTGCTGATAAAGGCTGGTTAAATGAATACATTTTTATTCGTACTAAACCTAGTATCTGATCACAGAAGTTCTGAGCATGGTAGGTCCCTGAAGCAGCACTCCAGGTGCTAACATTAAATCTGACTGTTCTGTTTGTACTGGTTGAGAATTCACCTTCAAAGGTGCTCTTTGGAAAGGCAGGGATTAAACTAGCAAACTTGTTTTCTCTTTGCTTTGCTTCCCAGGGAAGTGGAAAGTGAACTTGAAATAATTTGGGAATCAACCACCAAAGAAAACAGGAAGATGAAGGAACTCTTGCATAAATCTCTGGAGAAGAGCCGGCAGAGCCCTGTCAGAGCTTATGAATCACATTTGGCTGACATTTCTCAGAAAGACCTGCTTGGTGGGTACGGTTTTAGCTACTGCGATGTGGAGCTTTCCTCACCTGCTAAAAGCCAGAGCCAGCAGGAACCTGTGTGTTAAAGGACACAGATGCTGCCGTCGCTTCCAGGGCAAAATGCATCTGAAAGAAGCACAGACAGAAATGTAAGCCGACTCAGTACCTTCCAACAGCAGAACGGGATCTACCAAAGGAGGTCTTTTGGTAATGTTGCGGGTCAGAAATCTGTGCTATGGGGAATATAGCTTATATAGTGCCTTCAGAATCCCAAGGACCTGATCTTTCATATCAAAAAGCAAGTTACGAGCCCTTCATGCAGAGAGAGTACTGAAAACATGTCAGCAGTTTCTTCTAGATAAGAGAAAACAGAAGGAACATGAAGTGCTGGTTTCATTGGGGAGTAAATTTTCCTTCACCGTAACCTCCTTTTTTCCATACCTCTGTTGGTGTCTCTAAGGGCTGCTCCTCCCAGCAATAGGTAGCAACAAGAAGTGGGAGGGGAAAGTGCTTTATAGATGTCATAATAACTAGCATTATGCTGTCATCACTGTTCTTGTGTCACAGTTGCCATGCTGTCTGTAGTGTGCTGTTCCTTCTAGTGTGTTTGAACTAGTAGTGACCAGTTTGTTATGATGATTGTACCTGAAGTTCACAAAAGCCTTTGCCTGGAAACAGCCTACTCTACCTATTTCCAGACACCCTTTAATCTGTGTCAGCCTTCATTCCTCAGTCTGTGGTTTTTTTTAAAAAAAGGAGAATTGCCCCCTCTCTCCATACTCGGGGGTTGGGGGGGGAATGTGCAATCGAAATGCAGTATACAAGTTAAGTAAATGTTTGCAGATTTGCATAACTTGTTTCTACAGGTTAACTTCAGTTTGCTGGTCACAGGTTGTGGGGTTTGAATGCAGAGTACCTGTCCCCCTGATAATCATTGCTGTATCTAATTCTAAAGCCCCTGTGTGAGTGATGAAAACCATAAAACTAGGCTACTCAGAGACACAGTGAGGGTTTCTACATATGTGAGACACCCCCCAGCTATGCCAAAAATATAAAGTAAAGAAAAGACACACACACACATCGGAAACATTTTGAGTAGTGGAGTGGGAATTCACACTCACTCACCGCTTCCCTCATGGGCCCTCAAGCTTGTACTTACAGAAGCAAGCTTACAAAAATGAATCTCTGTGTAGGCTCCTCTCTTTTGATGTTTAAAGCTGGATTTCACCCATATTGTCAATAAGCTATCTAGTTATTCTGACCAAAGATACAGGCTGGTGCAGCCATAGTTGCTGCTGGAACACTGTTTGCACTCATTACTCAAGGGATTGTGGAGTTGAGAGCCATAATTGCTGGATTGGCCCCAACTTTAGTGAGCTTTTACAGAGATGGGACAAAAGGAAAAGAGAGTGACTTACCCTGTTTAGCACCTACTCTTTTTTATCAAAAGAGTGTAACAGAATGTCTTGAATTGGGAGGCTAGGAAGCAACACAGCTAGAGAAAAAAGCAAGAAGAAGAGACTGGATTTATACCCTGCCCTTCACTACCCAAAGCCATCTCAGAGTGGTTTACAATCTCCTTTCCCTTCCCCTCCCCACAACAGACACCTTGTGAGGTGGGTGGGGTTGAGAGAGCTCTTCTGAGAACTGCTCGTGAGAGAACAACTCTGAAAGAACTTGTAACTGTCCCAAGGTCACACCAGCAGCTGCATGTGGAGGAGTGGGGAATCAAACCCGGTTCTCCCAGATTAGAGTCAGCGCTCCTAACCTCTATACCAAACGGGAGATTTTTGAAAGGCACCTGGCTGAAGAGAGGGGTCAGAGGGTGAGCAATCAGGCTGCAGAAATCTGCACTAACTTCTTTCTTACCAGCTGATGATCAGGAACCATTGCCCAGAACAGCATATAAGTAATAGTAGCCTTTGTGCCTGTTTGCGAAGACTTGGTGAGTACACAAAAGCACAAGGGGAAAGGTGTGTCTAAAGGCAGCAAAGAGGCTTGGGGAGCCTGAGGAAAGAGGTTCTGACTACCCACCACACCTTGCCCTCCCTGTTTGTCAGTTCTAAATTGTCTCAAAGTGGCTTCTTTCCCTCCCCCCTTTTAAGAGGAAAAGGGGGGGATTAATTACACTTTGTGTAGTCTTTAGTTAGTCTCCACTTGTTCCTTGATGACAAGTGGAAATCTGAAGCTTTGGACTCCAGTAGGGGAAGTAGCAACCCCCCCAGGGGCATTTCAGGTTTGGAAAATGGCACAAGAGATGGCGGTCTTAAGTTCCCTCTTGTGTTCCATGGTCCCGACCGAACTAACCCTGTTCATACCTGGAGTTAACATGAAACACACAAACTTGGGGAGGACCCAGGGAAAACATTTATGTGAAGTAAGGCCTTTAATGACCTTAATTCTGAAAACCCGTCTGCACAACTCATTTATTGGCTTACTGAAAAGCATTTTTAATGACAGCTTCATTTTGCCCGTTGCCGTTAAGCAGTTGCATCATTCTCCATTACACAGTAGCATGCACCAGCAGTGGAGTGAGCATGGTTGGGCCTTCTGCCTACATCCGTAGGGTTTGTAACATTGGCTGTTACAAAGATAACGGTTGATCTTTATGTAAACCTGAGCACTTAGCTCTCAGTTTAGGGAATGATTATTCCAACAGGTTTTTCAGCACCTGATTTAACAATCTGAGCACTGTATTTTCCAAGGGAGTTGGCTGTGATATAATCTGTAACCTTTGACAATTGGATGGAGGCAGTTTTCCGGTTAGTTTTGATTGTTCCTTCAAGCTGTCACAAGGACTGGCAGTTCTGTCATGCTTGTGAGCAGGTTTGGGTGCCTTACATGTACAAGGTGGGAGTGCAATGCACAGCTGGCTGTTTCCTTGTACAGATTCCAAATCAGGACAGTCAGCTGGAAGAGTTACAATATGATCCTTTAGACCAGGGGTGGCCAAACTTGCTTAACGTAAGAGTCACATAGAACAAACGTCAGATGTTTAAGAGCTGGAAGACATGAAAAAATCTTACACGTTTTTACTGGGAAATATGCAAATTTGCTTTTTATTAACATTAAATGAGACTGCCAAAAATAATCACAAAAGCGGTAAAAGCAGATATTGATAATGATATTTATATGTCCAATGATATTTGTTTGCTAATGATATTTAGCTTCCCCAGCTGCCCTGCCGGGAGCCACACAATATGCGTAAAAGAGCCGCATGCGGCTCCTGATCCACAGTTTGGCCACCCCTGCTTTAGACAGAGAACTGCATGCACATTTGTAGCCAAGTTTGGGATCTGATAGGCTTTACATCAGATTATTTAATATGACATTCCATAATTCCACAAAAGGCATGAGTCTTCTTTTGTGAACATCCGTAAATGACAATCAGACATTAACCCACACTTCGTTTGACATGCCAAGGACCTGTCTCTACAATTTTTCCTACTGTGTTTAATGAAACAGATCTTGCTGCGCAAGTTTTGAAAATCTGGTTATGATGATTATCTTAATGTTGCATGTATACAAATCGGTAATTAAAGCTCCCACTGTTTGCAATGGCCTTCATGTCTAATGCCACTTAAACTCTCCCCATACAAGTACTGGTGTATAGCAACAGAATGACTAACGCCATGTCTACAAGTATAAAGAATGGACAAGGGAAATACAACATAGTCCAACATTTTATTTACATCAGTGTTTTGTGTATTGCAGGTAGGTCATGGAAACTGATACGCTTTAGCTAGAATGATTCTGGATAGATTTTGGTGTACAGGTGCATTTCACAAACTCCCTCTTACCTGCTGTCCCTCTAGATCAATTTTTATTATTTTATATATCTTCATTAGGACCAGTGTTTGCATAAATGCTCATTTTTATCTCATTTGTATACTATTGCAACCTTTGCCAAATATGTATTTTTCAAGTATGAAGTTTGTAACAAAATAATTTTATAATAAAATAATTTTATTTTCACGGTGGAAGCCATATGGTATTTTATCTTTGGACCATATCACCAGCGAGAACATTGAATATTAAGAACATGTATACATCAGGGTTCAAATTATAGGGAGGCTGGTTGGTTCCCCTACAGTTCGTGATAACCTTCCCGCGAGATTGGTGGGCCTTGTGGATTTCATTAAGGACCCCCTACTTTCTCCCCATAATTCAAGTGCTGGTTGAATACTTCTTGATGGTTCTTCATTTGTGCCGAAGTCACCGTTTGGTGAAAAACCTAGAAAGTGTTTGGCTTGAACTGCTGATTAATTCAAGTAGTTAATTGGACTTCAAAGAGTAAATCTTGGAGTTGCTTACGCCATTTGAAATCAAAGGTGAATCATGAGGATCAAAAATATAAAATAGAGTCGAATTATGCCAACAAAACTAATGACTAGATGGGATATTTCTGCTAGGGGACCTCCTACAGCTAATTAAAGACATCAATAGCCTCGCTTCTTTGTATCCCCAACATGACAGCTTTAAAAGTCAGTTTTGCATTAAAGCAGCATTTGCAACAGATTTAATCAGCTACACTCAGCCCTCTTCCCCCATGCCGTCTCATCCTATGGGAATGGAACATTCTGCTATGGGTTGCTTTTCCTGCTCTCAAAAAGCTGGCCAATGCAAGCTGATAGCTGTGGGAAGAATCTCCCTTGCCCAGAACAACCCTTGCCTACCTTTAGGAAAAGAAGTTATCCTGACACTTGTGTATCTCATGAACTAGGATACATACAATCTTTTTAATTTTAAAGAGAGAGAGAGGAAATTTGGCTTCAAGTTTAGCACTTGTTGCATCATGTCTTTGAGACGGCAGGTTTCTTCTTCCAAGAGGGAGGACCATTAGTTTTCCCAGGGTACCTCACATCTTGAAGGGGCTGTCCACAGGTGAGGGAAGGCTTCTTTGTGTGTTCAGTGCCACGGCCTTACCTCTCTGACCATAGTGAGGCAAAGGAAGGGTCAGAGTCGAGGCTGTCAAGACCCCATAAAAGCAGGAAAAAACAACATAAGAACATAACCATTGCCATGCTGGATCAGATCTAAGTCCGTCTAATCCTGAGATCTGTTTCCAAAAATGGTGGCAAGGTTA